ACACACACACACACAGACACACACACACACACTCAGATGGGTACCCAAGTCGTCCAACAGACTCCTTGTATATGTATACCCTTGTTTAGATCTATGTTGTATTATTCGGTCATGCGTACAGTTGTCAGCTTCGCTGCAGTGTAGACATTCTTTAGCGGATAAGTAAATATTGATTGAACTTTATCCTATGGCAGCATTTGCAGTTTTTCAACAAAGTTTGCGAAAGAAAATGTTACGCTTTATCAATCTACAGAAAATTTCCGTCGCATATCTTCGCGCTAATACCTTCAAATAAATTCCGTAACGGATATGATGACTGACATTTCTGATCATGGAAAATAGATTTGCTTTTCCTCAATCAGCGCTGAACTCTCAAAATTCAGTTTGGTGTTGCTCTCTATTTTTTCCCTTTCCCTTTGTGCAGATGAATCTGCTCTTTTGTTCACGAAGTTCTATAAAGAGGTTACGACTCGAAACAAAAATTTGTCAGCATCAACAACATCATCAACAGCAAAAAGCAACAGTAATAGCCACAAGAACAGCAGTAGTAACACATCAGGTGTCTCAAACTAGCGGCCCGCGGGTCAATCCAAACCCCCCATTGTTGAACAATAATTTGCGTTTCCGATTCGACATCAAAGTTTATTTTTTTGGAGTATTTTATGTTTTGGTATTTGCTTTTGGCTTTGTTTTTAGTGTTTTACGGCGCTCGCAAGTGCTTAAGGTCAAAAGAGCGAGCGGGACACGTTAAGCATCCATCAAAGTTTAGAATTAAAGCGTCCCAGACGTTTCTCTCACACGCATGTAAGACCTTTGTAAGACGAAACGTTGCCCTGCCTGTGGCAGCAATGAATCGATAACAGAAGCCTATTTTCTGAAGAACTGTTAATGTTCTGAATTATCATTCATACATGTTACATCAAGTGATTTTATTTTAATTCTGAAAAACTTTTTTCGTTGGAATTTTATGCTACCCAGACTCCATCTATAGAGGTCATCGCATGATTAGAGTTTGAGACATCTGATCTAAATCAACAACAATGATAGCAACAATATAATAGAAAATAATAACAGACTAATATTATTAATTGACATTCAGGGTCGAAGCAAGCCACTTCCTAAACGATCTAATGTATGTAAATATAGGTTCGTAAGATGTGAACAATCTTTAGAGTCTTTTGAATATCCTGTTATCTCTCAACCACCTATCTCAACAACCACCCACGCGATAATTCATCGCGGTAAGAGATCTTAGTATAATCGTGAGTCATTGGTAACGTCCACGAGATTATTATCTCATGTGGTAACTTATGTCACCCAGAGATGTGGTAGTAAAATCGTGGACAGGTCAAGAGTCGTTGGTCTCATCGTGACTCACTTTTTGGCTCAGTGTGGCTATAAATTAATATGAATGATCTTCTTTTAGGGATTATGCAAGGGCGCAATATTATAAGCCTAAACGTTTTTCCTCAAGATCTATTGTTGTACACGTCTGAGACCGTGACTGATGTTTGTATATTTTTCTTGAGGTTTCAGATTTGTTATGAAAAAACATTTTTTTTAATGGAAACTTCCGATATATTGATTTCACTCGCCCATCTTAGACACTATGTTGTCTTTATAAAATAAATTTAAAAAATGTTTTTGCTCTTAGATAGTGAGGTGTATTTCATTTTGATGCAAACCAGGCGTTATTTAGTAGCTTGATGGCGCGCCGTTGGATCAGTTGGTGGGGCATTTGGCTTTACAATATAGATATGTGTTTTTTGCCCAAGGCATATAACATTAATATTGTGATAAGTTCAATGAATACATTTTACCAAGGAAAATTATTAGGTCTACTATTTATTCATATATTTAGTCACGCCGAAGTTGGATTTTCACTTATTCTGCTATGTGAAAGTGTGGACTTTTCGACTTTTCAAAGTTTATTTTCCCGGTATCTATTGTGTGTGTGTGTGTGTGTGTGTGTGTGTGTGTGTGTGTGTGTGTAATTGTAGAACTACAATTTTGCAGCGAAAGTTGTGTGAGCGTGAATATTGTTCGTACATGCATTTATGTTAAGCGCCTAGAGTTGTGTTCACACGGGAGTGGGCGCTTTGGAAATGATCT